TGGGGCTTTGGGGGGAAAAATAAATAAATAAAAAAAATTTAAAAAAAAATTAAAAAAAAAAAAAAGGATCCCCAGGCTTCTCAGAGTGAAAGGAATTTGGAAACCAACTAAGCTACTGAACAAGTAATATTTTAATACCTTAACTGAAAAGTGTATTTAAAACAGATAAAACAAGTCAAAATGTGATTCAATTAATGAGGTATTTATTGTGTACCTACTGTGTGGCCAACACAAGTCTAGAACTTAGGTAGGAGAAAAATACTCATAAGACTGAATTTAAGGAAGTTTTATTTTAGTTGGAAGGACAAAATAGAAGACATGTTCACGTGAAACATTTAACCATTTAAGACAATGTAAGATTTTGTACTAAAATCTGGAAGATAGCAAGTCACAATACTTTAGAAGTTCCTGCATATCAGTATTAACTTTTGATCAAATTATTTACATTAGAGTCCGGAAATAGCACATAGGCACAGTCTGCCTTAGAGATGTATTGGCCTGCACAGTATTTTAGAAAAAAATGAATTCTTTGCCAACATCACGTTAAAAAATTAGAAGACATGACATAAAAATCCGTATTCTGGCTTCTTTTGAAAATATATTTTTTTGGCAGCACTAAGCCGGTACTTCGCTAAAACGTTTGTCAGGGCATACTCTCTTTAGTTCACTACAGCCCCACACTCTATTATGTCAATGGCCTGTTTCATTTGTTTATTTTACCCACCTTTCCCCCATAGACCTTTGAATGTGATAACTCAGTGTTCCCTCCCACCCCCCGCTTTTACAGAAGTGGAAAGTAAGGCCTAGAACGATCACACAGCCGTTTATTGGCACACTGTGGGCTGGAACCCAGATTTCCTCAACCCCTAATCCAAAGGTCTTTCAACTATGAAAAGAATTTGTAGAAGAAATGAACATTATGTTTCTTTTTTTTAATTTGGGCTGTAATACTTTCTTAGTCATTAAAAAAAAAAAATTATAGATTACCTGCCTTCCTGTCCACTTCCACTCATCTCTGCTGTTCATAAATGCACACTTAGTTAGCAGCTGAAAGGGACAAGTGAATATGAGGTTAATTGAGAAGATCTGTACTTTTGTGAGTTGTTCTGAGATTGTGGATCCGAGATAGGCACTGTCTACCAAAGTTTCTAATGCTAGTGTCTCAAAAACACAACAGCTCTATACTAAAATGACTTAGGATATAGGAGGTTTTTCTCCAAAGTCTCATATTGAAACAGTTATGATGGAATAAGCATAATTAAGTGACTCTATTTCCTTAAATATGTTATATCACCTAAAGCAGCCTTGCAGTTTGAAGTTAACGCCTGTGTGTCTAGCTATGCCTGTCACATAATGCATTCTCAGTAAACATGTTCTGTTTTTTACCTAGTAATCCTACATGCCTTTTCAATTCTTTATTTTGTTAAAGGACTTGCTATTGTGACCAAATATATTACAAAGGGCTGGAAAGAGGTCCATGAATTATATAAAGAAAAAGCACTTTCTGTGGAGACTGAAAAGTTATTAAAGTATCTGGAGGCTGTAGAGAAAGTGAAGCACACAAAAGATGAGCTGGAAGTCATTCATCTAATAGAAGAGCATAGATTAGTTAGGGAACATCTTCTAACAAATCACTTAAAGTCTAAAGAGGTAAGTAAATTATAATATGTTATAGCGTGTGATGAAACATGAGTAATTTATATGTGTTAAAAGGGTAACTATATATTTGGGTAACTGTATATTAATATTTTTTAAGGAAAAATGAAAATATTTTTATCTTGAAATTAGTGTTTGTTTAAAGTACGTAACACACTGCCCAGATGTAGTTGGCATTCAGTAAGTGTTAGTTCCGATCCAGAAAATATGCTGGTTAATTTGACTTGCTAATTAAAAATAAATAAATAAAATTGTTCTATGCAGGTCCTTCATAAAATATACTTCATTTTCTTGCTCTAGTAAAGAGCAAGTTAGTTTATTTGATAAGCCTTTGACCAGTTCGCACAAATTTTTGTTTAGAAAGTGCTCTGAACCCCAAAAGAAACCCTTAGAGAATATATCATTAATATTATTATTGATATAGCTGTTACACTGATTCATTTCTTCTTAATTCCTTATATTTCTGCCTATGTTATTGCAATAGATATGGAAGGCTTTGTTACAAGAAATGCCTCTTACTGCATTACTAAGAAATCTAGGAAAGATGACTGCCAATTCAGTGCTTGAACCAGGAAATTCAGAAGTATCTTTAGTATGTGAAAAACTGTGTAACGAAAAACTGTTGAAAAAGGTAAGCATTACCTTTGTTAGCTACTACTAATTGAAAAAGTTGGCTCCTAAATTTTAGAAATACAGTCAGCACATTTTTTAGGTGTTCGCAGACTTTTATCTTACCAAATTGCATTTTGACTCTGAAATCTAAGATTAGTATGTCCTCATTTTTCTCTTTTCTTTATGAAGGAGTATTTATTAGCTATAATAACAAAAATCTAAGACATAATTACAATTTTTCATTTGAATTTTGCGTTTACTTTCTGTGTTTGTCTTGTTTCTAGGCTCGTATACATCCATTTCATGTTTTAATTGCATTAGAAACTTATAAAATAGGGCATGGGCTCAGAGGAAAACTGAAGTGGTGCCCTGATGAAGACATTCTGACAGCTTTGGATGCCGCTTTTTATAAAACGTTTAAGGTAATGGTTTGATTTTTGTTTTAAAACAAATGACCCAATTAGGACTTAATATCTTTTGTAAAAACACATTTTAAAGGTGATATTAATAGTTTAACCATTTTTGATTAGATATTCGTTTGTTTTTCCTTGTTCATATGAAGGTGGGTATAAAATTAACATTTTAAGTTTATGAGTAAAGTATTTCTCCCTGCCTTTGGGCAACAACCAATTATCCTAAGATCATTTTGACAAGTTTTAAATTACCAAATTTAAAATTTTGCATTCCTGTGGAATCCTTTGACTTAGTCCTCTGTCCTCTGTTTTTCTCATTAATCAGTAGTGGATCTCCTCTGTCTTGAGAGGAAGTGATTTTTTTAGGAATGAAACTCCTACATCAGAGCCGTAAGTTAAAATTTTTGGTTTTAAAAATTTCTTGCTATTCAACAAAATACTAGTAACCAAATTCCACAACAAGTTAAAGGGATTATACAAGTGAGATTTATCCTCAACATACAAGGTTGGTTCAATATACAAAAATCAGTCAATGAAGATCGGTCAGTAGATCAGTCTATTAATAGAATGGAGGGACAACTACATGATCATCTCAATTAATGCAGAAAGAGCGTTTGGCAAAATTCAGTACCCTTTCATGATTTAAAAAAACCCTCAATAAACTAGGAATAGAAGTGAACTTTCTCAACGTGATAAAGGCCATATATAAAAAACCCACAGCTATCATTATACTCAATAGTGAAAGAATGAAATTTTTTTCCTCCAAGATAAGGAATAAGACAAGCATGCCCACTTGCTCCACTTCAATTCTACATAATACTGGAAGTTCTAACAGGCAAGAAAAAGAAAAACGGCATCCCAATTGGAAAGGAAGAAAAATTATCTCTGTTCTCAAATGACGTTATCTTATATGTAGAAAACCCTAAAATATCCACGAAAAACTGTTAGAGCTAACAAACGAATTCAGCAAAATTGTAGGACATAAAATCAATAGGCAGAAATCAGTAGTATTTTTATACACTAGCAATGAACAATCTAAAAGCCAAGTTAAAACATTTCCATTTATAAAATAGCATCCAAAAGAATAAAAGACTTAAGAATAAATTTAACTATGGAGGTGCAGACATATACTGGAAACTACAAAACATTGCTGAAAGAAATTTAAGAAGACATTAATAAATGGGAAGATATCCAGTGTTCATAGTTTGAAAGACTTAATATTGTTATGATGACAGTACTACCCAAAGCGATCTACAGATTCAGTGCAATCTCTATGGCATGTTTTGCAGAAGCAGAAAACCCGTTCCAAAATGTATGTGGACTCTCAAGGGACCCCAGATAGTGAAACCAATCTTGAAAAAGAACAAAATTGGAAGACTCACACTTCCAAACTTACAAGTTTCAAAACTTACTACAAAGCTACAGTACTTAAAACAGTGTGGTACTGGCATAAAGACAGACATATAGATCAATGGAATAGAATAGAGAACCTAGAAATAAACTGTCACGTGTATGGTCAGTTGATTTTTGACAAGAGTATCAAAACAGTTCAATGGGGAACTGGATATCAACAGGTGGTGCTGGGGAGACTGGATATCCACATGCAAAAGAATGAATTTGGACCATTACTTCAAACCATATACAAAAAATTAACTCAAAGTGGATCAGTAGGGGGCCGGCCCCGTGGCGTATCAGTTAAGTGTGCGCGCTCCACTGCTGGCGGCCCGGGTTCAGATCCCGGGCACGCACCGACGCACCGCTTGTCAGGCCATGCTGTGGCAGCGTCCCATATAAAGTGGAGGAAGATGGGCACGGATGTTAGCCCAGGGCCAGTCTCCCTCAGCAAAAAAAGAAGAGGATAGGCATGGATGTTAGTTCAGGGCTGATCTTCCTCACAAAAAAAAAAAAAAAAGTGGATAGTGACCTGTATTTAAGAGCTAAAACTATAAAATTCTTAGAAGAAAACATAGGAAAAAGCTTTATGACATTGGATTTGGCAATAGGTTCTTAAATATGACAGCAAAAGCAGAGGCAACAAAAGAAAAAGTAGGTAAGTTGGACTTCATCAAAATTTAAATCTTTTGTGCATCAAAGGACACTTGAAAGTGAAAAGATAACCTAAAGAATAGGAGAAAATATTTGCATATCATATATCTGATAGGGGTTTAATGTCCAGAACGTATATATAAACAACTTGTACAACTCAACAGTAAAAATACAAACAACCCAATTCAAAAATAGGCAAAGTATTTGAAGAGACGTTTCTCCAAAGAAGATACACAAATGGCCAATAAGAACATGAAAAGATGCTCAGCATCATTAGTCATCAGGGAAATGCAAATCAAAACCACAGTGAGATACCACTTTACACATAGTTGGATGGCTCTTAACAAAAAGCAGAAATAACAAGCATTTGGAACTATATGGAGAAATTGAAACCCTGGTGTATTGCTGTTAGGAATGCAAAGTGGTGCAGCCCCTGGGGAAGATAGTTTGGTTATTCCTCAAAAAGTTAAACATAGGATTACTGTACCATCCATCAATTCCACCACCCATGTATATACCCGAAAGAGTTGAAAACGGACTCAAACAGATACTTGTACATGAATATTTGTAGGATCATTATTCACAATAGCCAAAAGGTAGAAACAACCCAAGTGTTCATCAACAGATGAATATGTAAACAAGGTATGGTATATACATACAGTGGAGTATTCAGTCTTACAAAGGGATGGAATTTGAAACACACTACAACATGGATGGACCTTGAAAACGTTATGCTAAGTGAAATTAGCCAGACACAAAAGGACATGTATTATGTAATTCCACTTATATGAAGTATCTGGAACAGGCAAATTCATAGAGACCGAAAGTAACACAGAAGTTGCCAGAGGCTAGAGGGAGGTGGGAATGGGAGTTGTTATTAATGTATACAGAGTTTGTATTTGGGATGATGAAAAAGTTCTGGAAATAGTAGTGGTGATTATATAACATTTTGAATGTACTTAATGCCACAGAATCATGCAATTAAAAATGATTAAAAAGTAAATTTTATGTTATTTGTATTTTAATACCACAAAAAACAATTTGCTAGAAATTTCCTGTTTTCTTCATGAGGAAAGATTTAAAAAACAGGGAGATGTTAACTTCTTCAAATAAAATTATTAAATGGGCTATTTTATTTCCTTTGTTTTACCTGTAGTAAAAGCTAAGCATTGTTAAATACTTGTCAATTAATTGGTAAATCAAAAATCAGGCTTTTTATCTTAGAGAGTCTTTCAAATGAAAGATAACTAAATATGATTTGTTAGAAATTTAATCTACTTATAATTTCTGTGATTGCTTTTGATTTGTTTTATTTTGTTTTCTCTTCAGACAGTTGAGCCAACTGGAAAGCGTTTCCTGCTGGCTGTTGATGTCAGTGCTTCTATGAACCAAAGAGTTTTGGGCAGTGTGCTCAACGCTAGCACAGTGGCTGCAGCCATGTGCATGGTGAGGACACCTCAGACAATTTAGGATGTTTGCCACCCTACAAAATGTTTATTGTGGGGCAAAATTGTAAAGTTAGGGGGGCGGCCCGGTGACACAAGTGGTTAAGTGCAGCGGCCTGGGGTTCGCCGGTTCGGATCCCAGGCACGCACTGATGCACTGCTTGTCAGGCCATGCTGTGGCGGCATCCCATGTAAAGTGGAGGAAGATGGGCACAGATGTTAGCCCAGGGCCAGTCTTCCTCAGCAAAAAAAGAGGAGGATTGGCAGATGTTAGCTCAGGGCTGATCTTCCTCACACACACACAAAAAAAATTGTAAAGTTAGATATGATCCAGAATTATGTTTTCACTTATTTTTGTCATTTTGGTTTATTTGGCACACTTTCATTTCGTTTAAATATCATTTCATATCTAAAGATAATTAAAAATTAACCAAGTTCTAAGTATGTTGTATATATACTTAAGTATATTATATAATTATATATACTTAGGTATGTACAGTATCATAGGTATATTGAAAAAGCATGTCTAAAGAACAGTCAGAATAGAAATTTTAATTTGACAACAAAAGATTAAATATTAATAGTATTTTGAGGGAGTAGATAATGCCTAGAGAAGTTATTAATGAGTAGAGAAGTTAAAAGATCAGGAACTAACAACAGTCAGGAGACTTTGGTTCTGGCCTGACTCTCTCACTGAATAGCAAGAAATGAATCATGGGCGAGCTTCTTAGTTCCTCTTCTGTGGCTTTATTCCTTATTTAATGAAATGAGAAGACTATATACTCTATTTGCTTTAAAGGATTGTTGTGAAAACCAGTGTCTTTGTAAGAGTTTGTGAAAGTACTTTAAAAGCTATACTGTTACTGTGTAGTTCCAAAACACAATAAGTTTAGAATTAAAATAAGCATCATAGAGTGTTTCTTTTAAAGATAAAGTTTTATGAACCTCAAGATACTATGTTTATTTCCCCCAAATCTGCTGAAAATTACTACCATTGAATTTTTCAGGTTGTCACACGAACAGAAAAAGATTCTTATGTAGTTGCTTTTTCAGATGAAATGGTACCATGTCCAGTGACTACAGATATGACCTTACCACAGGTCTTAATGGTTATGAATCAGGTAAGAAATTATTTTATTAAGTTTACTTAACATGTGTTGTATAATAATTTTATATTGATATCGTGACTGATATTAATAAATTTGTGAGAACAACTTGTTTCATCTAAATTTTCTCATGAGCACAAAATCAAAAAATATGTGCAAGCTTGGGAAAGGCCTGTATATTGCCTCTAAACAAAGAGATAATGTAAAAAGTAGTATTTTTAAGTACTTAGTTATTTCAGACATCTCAGTACAGAAACTAGAGCACTTTCTTTTATTGTTATTCATGTGTCTGTTCTGAGTTAGATCCCAGCAGGTGGAACTGACTGCTCTCTTCCAATGATCTGGGCTCAGAAGACAAATACAGCTGCTGATGTCTTCATTGTGTTCACTGATAATGAGACCTTTGCTGGAAGTGTCCATCCAGCTGTTGCTCTGAGGGAGTATCGAAAGGTAAAACAAATTCTAATATTCTTTCTCGCCCCAAATAAGAGTCAATTCTCAAACATTCACTATATTTCAAAAAAATGATACTGAAGGTAGTTCTGTACCTTTGTATGAGGAATACAATGCCAGTTCTGGACTCTGCAGTAGTTGAAATAAGAAAGTATTGGCTACACATATATAATTTATTTCAACCAGTTCCGATTCAATATATTACTAAGACTATCCTTTGCAAACAGTTTTTTGGTAATAATCAAAATATTTATTTTACCTTAACTATAAATTTTCTAATGATTCACTGTGCTCCTTGAAAAATTAAAGTATCATTTGTGAGTTTTCTTAAGGGACTACCTAAAGTGAAAGCAAAGCTGTATGTATAATCTATGTTTTAAGTTTATGGCTATTTCTGTATTCTAATCAGTGCTCTCCAATTGAGCTCTCTGAAATGATGGAAACAATTCTATATCCACACTATCCAGTATGGTAGCCACTAGTCACATGGGTCTTTTGAGCACTTGAATTGTTGCTAGTGTGACTGGAAGTAGCAGTAGAACTTCACCCCGTGGGAGACCTGCTGAATCAGAAACTCTGGGGCTGGGACTGTGTTTTAACAATCTCTTCTGGGTATTCTGAATTATGCTTAAGTTTGAGAACGACAAGTGAGAGAATAGAATTTGGAGTCAAGACAGCCTGGGTTCCAAGTCCTGGGTTTTTCTCTTTTACTAACTGTGGACCTGAGCAAATTATTTAACTGATAAATGTCATAGTAGTATATCACTACTATGATATATGTCATAGTGGTTAATAGTACTATGTACCGTTAAGGGTTGTTTTAACAATTACATTAATTACTTGAAAAGTTCATTATGGTGTCTGACATAGGGCACCCTGAGTAATTGTTGGTTTTTCTCAAAAACTCAATCATTTTAACCTTAAATCATAGCTGTAGAGGACAGGTTCCTACATGTGACATGTATGTATTACACATAGCAAAGTCATAGGCCAAATATTAATAATCCCAGGGAAATATTATTTATATGTACCCACACACACTGCCCCAGTGTTTGATATGTTAGTAAAAATGTCTGATGCACCTGAATACCCTGGCAGATTTCCTAAGTACAGAGTCCCTGGGCTGCTCAGGAATGTATTCTACGGCCCATAGAACAAATAATAATATAAAACAGAGAAGCAAGAATTTCAGGTAAGTTGTTTACACAATTTTATTTTCTATTCTGAAGATCACATAGTCTGGCCCTGAAAGATTGACAAATTTTATGGAGAGAAAACAAAATTGACTTTGTAATGAAAAGCTGTGATAGAATTTAGAGTGTTTAATTTTAGAGGTTATTTGCTTTTGCTTACATAGTAATTTTTTAAATATGTATTTTGATCTTTTCCTACAGAAGATGGGTATTCCAGCTAAATTGATTGTTTGTGGAATGACATCAAATGGTTTTACCATTGCAGACCCAGATGATAGAGGCATGTTGGATATGTGTGGCTTTGATACTGGAGCTCTGGATGTAATTCGAAATTTCACATTAGATGTGATTTAACAATAAGCACCAGCATGAGCTAAGAGGTCCGTTGCCATCAGTGATCTCACTAAAAATACGAAGCTACTTCCCAGCTAATCTTAATCCAATGAAAGATGATAAAATGATGGTATAGTATGTGCATAATGGAAAGTTTACCTTACCAAAAAAAAAAGAAAGGAAAAATCAGATGAGCCCAAAGTTCTTTCTGCCTACTAAACTAGCTCTTGGGAAATAGCTTCAGAATACACTGTAGCTCCCTCTTTCTAATAGAGAACTTCTTGTTGATAGAGACTGTAAATAGTCAAACAGTTTTGCTTTGCATAACAATCACATTTGTACTTAAAAGAAGTGAGAGCCAAAAGTGTAAGTAGTTGCATATCATGTCACTTGTTTCAGAAGTGCTTCCAGTTTTCTTAAATGTTTTCATTGGGAAAGGACAGCTTTGATAATGTCCATATACTCTGAAATGCACTGGACCATTTAACTGTGATGGAATATGAAACTCATCTGTAAACTTTTATACCAAGGAGGTAAAAAAAAAAAAAAAAAAATAAGATGTTTGATTAAATTATGAGTTTTACAAATTCCATTAAGAGTTTTCTAAGATCACATAAATAGCAGCTTTCTTAATTCAGTGAAAAAGATATTTTGTTTCTGATGTCTTGTTTACACTCGATTGTTACCATTAACTAGAAACATAATGGAAACCCCTGAGAAAAGACTCTAAAGTTTATGTCAGCTGAGGAAGTCTATTTGGTTTGCTTTTTGTTTGTTTGTTTTGGTGTATTTTATTGCTGTGAGTGAGGGGCGTGACTTGACAGTTTCCTCTGAATTATAACAGCATAACCTCAGGTAGTCACACTTTCTTTTTTTCATACTCTTAAATGAAAACAACATAAAATATTTCAAGCATTTAACTCCACTCGTAATCTGAAAGTATGACAATTAAAATCTCAACTGTAAACAGATTAGCTTTTTCCTTACTTTAAAATAAATATTGTTCTAGTTACTTTTAACTATTTTTTTTAGCCAATTATAAATGGGTTTTAGATATTTTCTAATTGTAAGCATGTCAGTGGCCTCCTATGTCTTTGTCCATTATTCATTGTGGCAAAACATTCTTTTTTGATAGTATAAAAAAATAATAAAGCAAGGTAGGTCTTTCAGGTTTGAAAGGCAGTTTTTGAGTAGCATAGTTACCACTAACCAGTCTCTAAGAAATGATTTATTTCTATTTTATTCGTGTATATTAAACTTTCTTTTCATTACACTAAAGTGCATTTTGTTGAGCAAAGATCCCTTTGTGGGGAGGTTTAACTTTTGAAATGCCAGTATCTGCTCATAATTATATCATGGTTGTCTAAGATAGCTTACACATAAAACTTCAGTTTTTATGTATTCTTTAAATATTAATTAGGGATTTACTGGGGATTTATAAAGCCCTTTTCACTGTTATGTGAAAAGTCAAACTAGTAAGTGTAAATTATGGATATTTACATGCTTGGACGGGTTAAAGGTTTTATGTTTTGTGGGGAAGGGGGACTTTAGTAGTGTTAGAGTTTGTGTAGATATTTTCTTCTGTTTCATGGGAAATTTGGGCTCTAGGAGTGACAAGAAAATGCTCCTTTCAAAGTTATTTGACAGATTTATGCTGGCTCCAATATGTAGCCATTCCTTCAAGGCTAGCAATTTGTAAATGTTGTGATTTACCTGAGAACTCTTTGCTCAGCAAAGCTAATAGCACCCCTCCACCCCCACCCAAAATACATTGTTTCTGATGTCATTCTGTTTTTAACCCTCTGTCAAGCGTTGGATATAATGTCTTAGCTACTTTTGATACATTAAAATATTATGTTCAGGTTGAATTTAAAGTTTAAAGAACCTAATAGAATTAAGTTCTCATTTTTGAATTCTTTAAGTAAACCAAGATCTTAAAAGTTATAACATGATCTAATTTTTTATTCCTAATAGAAATGTTTAATGGAATATAGTATAAGTTTATTTCCCTCAGTTATGTACTATCTCTGTAGTGCTTTTAAACAGATATATTCACAAACTAATATTAAATCCATCAGAGAAATCAGATTAGATGTGACCTTTTTGAAGTATTTAGGTAAGTCTCATTAAATAGATTAGGGTGAGATTTAAGAAAGAAGAAAAAGAATACTAAAAGGAGCCACCCCAGAAAGTAACTTTATTTTCAAATCATGGAATTTTAGAGCTGGAAGAAACCTCTGAAATTTAAAAGGTAATTTTTTAATTTAGGGATCCGAGGTCTAAGAGAGTGTGGCTTTGGAGCACTAGATCTAGAAATCTTGGTCTCTTCGTTCCCATCCCAGTGTTCATTTCTCCACAAAATGGAAAACACTGACTCCCAAGAGTAGGGGATAAAATAGTTACTCAGACTTTTATCTTTCTAGGTATTAGGAAATAGTCTATATACATGATTGCTTTGGGAGTAGAAAAACAGAGAAATTGTGAACATGTAGACTTCTGCAGTTCATAGTAATCCCCAAGCACAATTAACATCTTAATAACCTGTGTTGCTATATAACATACTCCTATAGAAAAAATAAAAAATTTACCTCATTATGAATAAAATGTACTCAAGTGATAAAGAAGTTTTATTTTCTGAATTACTGAATTACTTTTAGAATTACTGCTACATTAATATGTAGGGAAATGTTGCTTTTAAAAACAATCCTAAGAAAATAAATGAACTTTATTTCCTAGAAAATATGTAAATATTTTCAAGATATAGTTGTAATTAGTAAAACAAAAATTAATCTTATAATCCTACTCTTGTTAGTTGAAATTTCTTAGATCCCATTTAGTAACACTGTTATAATAGTTTAGTAACTTTTATGGGAACATTAGTGAGGAAGATACTAGTAAATGGAATTTAGTGTTACCCCTCTGGAATTGCTTTTGCTTTATCTAATTTACTGTGTGACTGTAGACAACCAATTTAACCTATGTGATTCAATTTTGCTATCTTTAAAAAGTAACATATCTGATGCCTGAATTATCAATGATGTAATATTTATAGAAAAGTTTAAATTGGGAGGAAGGCTTGCAATACCAATTAGAGCTTTTTTAAAATTAAAAACATTCTTATAGGATATGTGTTTTGAAAGATAAAATGTTTTAGAACAATAGCTCAATTTTTTAAAACACTCCTATTCTGAGTGGCAATATGTAAGAAAATTTTTCACAGCAAAGGTGAGTCTTGACTAAGAACCCACTATTCTCTGGTCAAGAGAAAAAGGGAATATGTTCCAAGTCTAAAATCCCTTTGGATAGACCTAGAAAAACAAACTCATCCTCTAAAACGAGGAGATGCTATTAACAAACATTTGCTTAGTCTTTTAAAGTAACTGGTAAATCTACAAATGATAGAATACCATTTTAGCAGGCTTTTTTTCTCATTCTCTGAGATTTTGCAAAACCAATATAAAAATATTTTGGGAAATTTAGGGCAGAATTCCTGAATAAATTTGAGGATCTGACAGTTTAAGTGAGAAACATCTTTAAAAGCACAATAAAACTGCTTTGTTGTATTTACTGTAAGGGTTTTATTTAGTATTTTGCTGTCTGCCCCCCAATCTCTTATTTGTTCAAAGATTACTTTTATACCTCTATCTTTCTTTTAAAATTCCTTTCGACATTTTTATCTTCTGTTTCTTTTTCTAGTCCTGCTCCACCTGGGTAATAAAATGAATAACAGGAAAGTCACCCATATTTAGGTTTGGGATGAATCTTTTGCAGATTGCTTTTTTTTTTTTTTTTTTGTGAGGAAGATCGGCCCTGAGCTAACATCTGCCAATCCTCCTCTTTTTTGCTGAGGAAGACTGGCCCTGGGCTGACATCCGTGCCCATCTTCCTCCACTTTATATGGGATGCTGCCACAGCATGGCTTGCCAAGCAGCACGTCAGTGCATGCCCGGGATCCTAACCGGCAAACCCCGGGCCGCCAAAGGGGAGCGCACGCACTTAACTACTTGCGCCACCAGGCCGGCCCCTGCAGATTGCTTTTTGTTCCATATAGATTTAAGATCATATTTTTTCAAATTAATAATGGGCAGGTCTGTTGGAACAATAATTGGATTGATATATTCTCTCCCCAGATCAAGTTATGTCATATACCTTTTGTATTAGATGTTTGCAGAAATTTTGTGGCCTTTGAGTAAGATCAATTATTTAGCCTTTCTTTGCAATTATAGATGTACCTAGCCCTTAGAAAAAGAATTAACTGAATACTCTTTCAGAAAATAGCATGTCTCAATGCTTCTGTTTCCATAACTATAAAGACCTATATTAGAATCTTTTGTCTACTAAATACTTCCATGAGGTTATAGCATAAAAGGTCTTGTAAATAACTTGTATTCATGTTCAACATTTTTTTTAATTGGTGGATTTTTGTATTTGCTTTTGAAAAGTTATTATGAAGTGAATTTAAAAATTAATCCTGTGGTAATATTTTTCATGTAGAAAACTAATGCAGTGAAGCATACTGTTTGAATAAAATTATAATAATTGACAGGTTTTTCCTAAACCCTGAAAATACTAAATTATATTGGAAATTACTAGAAAGAAACATAAACTAGAGTTATGTTGCAAAACTCTATTACTGAAATTAAGGTGAGAATGAATTTTGTACATACAATGAAAATATACAAAAGCTGTTTCTGAGCCTAAAGAGATTTTTCCCTTTGCTTCTATTTAATTTAGCACCACCATGATTACTCTTAATTTTATGAACACAAGTGATAATATTTAATTTTAAAATATATTTAAATTTCTGTACTTTTAGAAGTTATCAGAATCTGTGCTTGAACAAAAGAAATGGTAACTTAGCTATGATTCTGCTGGTTTCACTTAATGAACACTTGGATTGTTAAGGGTAGTAAATGAGGTTAAATAAGGCCTTGTTATTTTATATACCATTACCATATAACTGATAGAATATTATATCAATACAAACATTGTATTGAAACTTCTGTTCAAATTACTTGTTAGGCTTTGTTTGCAATTAAACTGTTTAGAATCCATACACAGCCAAATTAAATTTAAAATATTAATTAATAGTAACCAAGAAAAAATGTCTTTGTTGCACTGTTATTCTAAATATAGTATGGTGTGATGACGTAACTTTTGTAATGCGTTTGAGTTATATTTTCTTCCTTTTATTGTCAGCTTCTGATGATGAAGAAATTCTCCAAAGTGATGATATATGAAATCATCATTTTTAAAAAATTGGTTGAGGAAGAATTGTTATAGTCTAGTTCTAAACTCTCCATTTGCTTTATATAAAGGCTTTGATTTCCATAATTGACCACTTGATGAATATTTAAATTACACAAAATAATGCCTGCATAGAATAAAATTTAAGTATGCAAGAGCCTTAAAGTGAAAAAAATGAACCTTCTGACTGCCTTAAAATATGACTAGCTCTCCAACCCAGGCATACTAGTTACTTTCCATTGGGTCTGTTCACTAAGTAATGCCTTAATAGCGTTAGTGTTTCTGAAGTACAGAACTCAAGGGGTCTTCTAGAGCTTTCGCTTTTACATAATGAATGGAGATTGAACTGTTAAGTTTTAAAACCTGATTGTACATTAGCCGTTTAAGCACCCATTAACAGGATAATCTGGGTACACTGATGTGTTACACATACATGACTGTTAACATCAGTAATACTTTGTGGTAGTTTAAGGTTTTTTATTGTTTTCTATAACATTATCCGAGAAGCTGGACTTTCTGTAACATGATCTCCAAGGACCAAGTTGCATGTTTAAACACTCTGAATGGAAAATACAGTTGTACAGTTCCAAAAATGATTAATTTTTTAA